AACATTTTCCGATGACTGACTAGGAGAGGAATCCTTCAGAAGAAGGTTGTGTAGCCTGTGAGTTGAATGCCCTGGGTCATGAGCAGGGCCAGCAGAGGTGCTAAGAGCTTTGTGAATACTTTGAGAGAAGAGGATAGGCCAAAGATCAGTGCAACAAACTAGAAGTGTTTTTTCTGCCACTGTAAAGCGCCAAAAGTGCTGATGAGGTGGGAAAATGGGAATATGCAGATAGGCATCTTGAATATCCACTGATGACAGGCATTCCCCTCATCTCAGAAAGGCAATTACAGACCTTGTAGATTCCATGCAGAATTTTGGAATTTGAAGGAATCTGTCGAGGGATATTAGGTGGGATTTGTTACTGTGAAAGGCATTGAGTAGAAACCTTTGAACCTGTCTTGTGGATGTACTGGCATAATGATTTCCTAAGACAAGATGTGGTTCAGAGCCTTTTGCAAATTAACTGTCCTTGGTTGATATGAGAGAAGAAAGTAGTACGGGGGCGCAATTTTGAATTATTTTGTACTGTCTTGAAACCACTGATTTAACCCATCGGTCTAGGATGTCTGTGACCCATAGAGAGGCAAACTGTAACAGACATTCCCACACTGTTAGGAGTGAGGGCACATCTTAATTGTGGCTTTGGAAGACTTTGTGGCTTTTGTAGACCAAGCCTCATGCTGAAAGGAAGGACTGAATTTATAAGTGGAACTTTAGGTAATAAAAATGGGAGAACAGGCAGGATTTTTAATACAGAAGAGACGTGCTTTGTCTTTTCTACATTAAAATTACCTGTCTGCCTGTCCACCCCCCTACAGTGAAATGCGCATGTGCAGACTACTGTAGAAATTTGGCAATGCCAAAACCAATGGAACTTTGCGCTGGAGCAACATTATTCTTGCCCAGTCAACGAAAGCAGCAGGTGATCAATACCTGGAAGCCAGCTGCTCAAAGATGTCAGTGGCCAGAGGGGAGCTCCAGTACGTACCATCACTGCAGCCAAGGTGATTATTGTTTCACTTTGAGGCTTTGTATTGGAAGCCTAAGTAGAGAGAACAGGTGCTCTGCATTTGTAGGAGCTAGGGGCTCCTGAAGAAGTGGTTTATGGAGTCTGTGGAAGCAAAAATTTTTCTCTGGTAACCTCTTTGATAAAGTACCTCACCAAACAGATGTCTTCATTGGGAAGACATACATATGAGGTGCCTTTTGCAGGCAGCTTCAGCTGTCCAAGCATTAAGCCATAAGATTCTGCACATCTGAAAAGATATTTTGACAGAAGTAATTCTAGAAATGTGTCTCACGAAATTATAGGGCGACACAAAAAGCAGAGCAGAAGGCAATTGCTGTGGTTTCTCTGTAAAAATACATACCTGCAATACAGGGTTTTGTAGATTTTTCATTGTCCTAGTCCTGTTAGCTGCAGTTTGACTTGGCAGTGAAAAATGAAATGGCAGTGGGAGCTGGTTGCAAGATTAAAGAGAGCATTTAGGAGCATCTCGAACATTCTATCAGCAGAATCTTTGAAAATGGGAACATCTTCAATAGGTTCACTGAGAGGTTTGTTTATAACAGACATGGCAAGATCAACCACAGGAATAGTCCACTTCATTACCAAATTTTTCAACTGGATAGAGATAAGACTTTGGGGGAAGAGAAATCCTTTCTTGTGTGACCCAGTTGCCATAGATTGCACATTCTACCTGTTTGTGGATAGGGAATGTTTTGTAGGATTTAGTACCTATTTGCACCCAAAGGTGCATGGTGAGATGGAAGCATGTCAGACTGCACAATGCAGAGGCTCTTGCGAATAGATGCAACAAGATTTTCAATGTTAGCACGTTGTGTGACGCTCTCTCTTCAATGTAATCACAGTCCAGGGAAGAGAAATTCCGCAGCTTCCTCCATTACTGCCTAAATATCCTCTTCATTCCCTTCAGTTTCTGCATCCACTAGGCCCTGCATACCATGATCCAGCTATGGTTGAGAATAGAGTTGGAAAAGAGGCAGGAAGTCCTGCACAAAGGCGGCTGCAGTAAGGCCATAAACTGTCCAGGGAATTGTGACAGATACAGAAAATTCTGCTTTTGCCAAGTAGCCACATTTTGCATGCCTGCACTAGAGCTGGAAACAGATGCAGATATCAGTGTTGGAATTGGGTCCTGCTCCGCAAGGGACATATTGAAAGGTTGAATGTTGTTTGGCAAGCGAACTTTCACCTGCAATTTTAATTGGCTTATTTTCACCTAGTCTCTGCCATAGTTAAGGGAGGGTATTCTCCCAGGGGTACTTATTGGGGGAATACCCGGCAAAAGGGTGGGAGGAAATGCCTACGTTCCTTATAAGAGCTCTAGACGGAAGTGGCTCTATGCGAAAAGTGTTCAACCAGTGGTACGATTTAACAGCTGTCATCCACCTGACACTGACCTTTAAGTGGTTTAAATTTTAAAGCCTAGTTTGAAAAGTTTGCACTACTAAGTGAATACATTTCAAACACTTCACAGTTTTTACAGTGTCAGAGGTACAGGGTAACCCTGTTTTACCTGTCCACAGCACTGGACCTAAAGTCCGAGCTTCGCCTATCACAGTGGGCATACCCACAAAAGTAGTCTTCAGGAAATGAGTGATGCAGCACAATGCCCCAAGGTGAGAATCCATGCAGGATCCAGTGCCCGAAGCAAACATTACATACCATCCTTACAGCATGGGTCCAGGTATGCTTCCAAAGGTTGCACCAATCCAGATACACTGCTTCTGTGTAGACAAAACAGTGAGGTGTTGATTAAAGAATTTAAAGAAAATAAACTAGTGAAGCAGTGTCCAATCACCTGACGGTAAGTGCCTATAACTGATGGTTTATGATTAAGTTGCCGGTGTCCTGTACGATTAAGATACATGTACTATAGAATGTTTCACTGCTTGCTCACTTTACAATATGTTTAAAACTGCTGAAAGTTTAATACTACTTTGAGCCCTTTTTTTTTTTTTTTTCTGCTTCACAGGCTGTGTGCTTGTTCCAGGTCAGTGACTTGCATGTTTGTGGAGTCAGATTCAGAAGAACAGCTTTACAGCATTCACCTTTAAAGAATAAGTAAACAACAGCAGCTCCTATAGTCCTATTCTCACTCTTTCATTTTAAATATTATTGCTAAAATTGTTAAAGAAGCCACTATACCAAAACTGTGGTCCACACTAAAATAATATCTTGAACATTAACTGTGGGAATTATTCCCCTTTTACAGAGGGAACCAATGAGTTCCCACCTTATATGTGCTACAGCACAAATTATCCACTGTATAACACTTAGCTCATTAAATCCACTCCACTTATGCAGGGCACAGTTAAAATTACAGATCAAAATGTGAAAACTGCCAAATCACAAGAATGATAACCTTGGCCAGTAGTGTTTTTGCAGGTTCATCTTTCGAACCAAACCCTCAATGGTGTTAGATTTAATGAACTGTACCCTTTCTTCTAGTCCTGTTATACTTAATTAAGCAATAGCACTATATTCTTATATGTACAATATGTATCCATCTCTTATCTTGCACTTATACTTACAGATCATCATAAGGCGGTTAAAAAATGCTTAGGTTCTTGTGACTGAATAAACTGCAAATGGAGATAAGGTATGGCTTAACAAAAGTGATGATGTGAGATACCTGCATACAGAAGCCCATTACACTGAAGAAGATAAAAGGCTGGATTCACACTTTTGTGTCCAGTTGCAGCGCATTAACATGCCTTGCAGTAAGACACACCATTTATTATGAATAGGCTAGCCAACAAGTCATACCAAACCACATTTTTTTTTAAAAAAATGCACTTTTTTGGCAACAAAGTACACCTCAACGCACTCTATGTTATGGGGTGAAACCACTTTCTCAGTTTTACTTCTGTTTCTTCACCCTATTACACACACGCCCCCAGTGGGGACTACAAGCAGCCATGTTCTTCTTTGGTCACCAATAAAAAGCTGGTGCAGAGCTATGATGTACAGCCAACGCTGGAGGGACTACATGTAAACAGAAGTGGCTAAATATGAAAACAAAGAGGTGTAAGTCCTGCAGCCAAAGTACAGCAAGAGCAGTGATCATGGAGTGGTGATCCAACCATAGGAGATACACCTCAGGTGTGGTAACTATTGTTTACAAACCCAAAATGAAAAAAAAAAAAAAAAAAAAAGTCAATGCCTGAAGTCCTGCTTTAATTACCAAAATACACATGGATTCGTGATTTCACAGTTCTCTCCAGGGCAGAGGTACTGTGAAAAAGGCTGCAGCCAAAAATAACAGAGCACTAGGATCCATTAGCTTCACAGGTTAGTAAAAAAAAATGTACAGGTTTCACCTAAAATGCTAACAGGGCAAAATGAGTTATACTGTTAAACACCTAAGACAACTGATTCATGAAATGGTTGCTTTCTTAATAAAAGAGACTGCTTTACAGCAAGATGGAGAATGAACCTTGCAGTATACCCAAAAAGGGACTTATCTGTTTCAGAGGGACATGGCTTTAAACCCATAAAAGCAGGATTTCGAAACAAAAAATGACGCAAAAAAAAATGAAACAAAATGTTGACATCTTTAAAATGCAACTTCTCTCCATCTGAAAAAAAAACAACACAAAACAAAAAAAAAAAAAACATATGGTGGGGGGGTTCAGGTTCTGAGGAGCCATTGTTCTTACGTTTGTCTTAAAGATTAAAAAGAATCTCATATAAAGATTGTTTAAAAAAAACAACTCTGATACTAATTCACAGTAGGTTTACAGAAGATATAAAAAAAGAAAAAGAAAAACACTCATTATAATCAATACACATTGTTTAATCCCCAGTAACCCAACACATGAATTTCTGAGAGGCTTGTTGAGAGCACTGCGGCCACTAATGGTGTCTCAACGTCGGTATAAAACAATTACTTTGTGAAAGGCAGGGGCGGCACATAGTCAAATTGCTGCCATGCTACTGGAAGCCATTGTCCCAAGATCTGTAAATCTGTTCATCAGGAGTCCGTGTCTGAGCCAGAACTGCTCTCCCGGCTGATTTCAATCTGTAAGGAAGGGAGGTTGTCCAAACGGCTCTTCTTCTGTCTGATCTGTTCCTTTTCCTTTATTAAGGCTCCCCAGGCCTGCTGTACTACAGAGTCTTCCTCTTCTGGTGCCACGCTGCCCTTTCCACCCTTCTCTGCTGCTCGCTCCTTTTCTTTTGGTGCTGTTCCCAAACGATTCCATAAGCTTCCTAATATAGAGAAAACAGGCGTGTTATAAAATGTGTCTGAAAGGATTCAGTGAGATCAACTTTCCTATTTATTCAAACTTTTCACTATGTCTTGCATAGTTTGATTAGGCTCACTTCTTATGAAACTACACAAGTCAAAAAACACCACCACTGGTAGGATTAGAGACTCTGTTGACAGACCATTAATTTCAACAAAAATACCCGATGTGTGCCTTTTGATTAAAATAATATACTTGCCTGCAATGGTTTTGCACAGAGCAGCCCCGAGCTTCCTCTTCACGTGTCCCCCACCGGCACTCCACTTGATCTAGTGTCCCCACAGAAAGCAGTTTTCTATGGGGGGCACTTGTGTGGGCTTGCTCATAAGCCCCGCTGTCTGCTTCCATAGACACAGACAGCGTGGTACACCCCTGCACCCTTATCACAGAGTTTGACTGATCGAAACAGGAGCCAATGGCCCCTGCGTCTATCGATCTGCTCAGTGAGGAGGGACAGAGCAGGGAGAGGCACTGTTTTCGTGCACAGCGCTGAATCACGTTGGGGCTTAAGTATAAGAGGGGGGGGGGGGGTCGCAGGGGGAATCCCAGGCACAAGTGTGTTTTTTACCTTAATGCATAGAATGCATTAAGGTAAAAAGCTTAAGCCTTTACAACTAATTCAGTTATGATTACAAGGCTCATATGTGACAGCACTGTGCAGGTGTCAGGTTCAATCTTTGGAGACAGTCTATATTCTGTCAATGTGCAACTGACCTGTTTTCTTTTCCTTGCTGTCAGAATAAAGACCTTTTCCTTCCAATTGTTTTGGCAAACCCAGCCGACTATGCACATCAGACACTGGTTCTCTGCGAGGTGTAGGAATGTGGCTCAACACTTTTCGTATTTCTGGTGAATGCTGTCTCTTTCCAAGCCTTTTCCGCACATCTGCATAAAAAAGTAAAGCTGTTATTAAGCCATAAAAATTTATTCTAATGCTTTCATAAGACATGCTTTTAATTTCTATTCCATTTATTCTGTGAGTGTTGTGTCAACTGGGAAGTCCTAGTCATGGCAACCTCTATTTCCCACCCTAAAACTTAATAAAGGGTGGACTTAGCCTTTTATATCAACCACTTTTAAACCCCTGAACAGCAGGACTTAAAATGGGTGAGGAAGGGGCAGCACTCCAAGTCAGTCAGCGTTCTACTGCTTTGCATAGTGTTGGTAGTATCCTTTCATGAATGTGCTTACAGAAGGGGAAGAGGACCTTTTCAGTCTATTGCTGTTTCCAGGCTGGAGAGGACTGGTAATCAAGCTGCATTATCCATGATGTCTAGCAGCTCTGCCTAGATCACACAAGTGGCTGAACAGAAGTATAAATATTTTGTCAGGCAAGACAGTTTAAATAGTAACCATATACAGTAGGATTCAACTGGGTATTTAGCTGTATGCCTATTCAGTTGTAATACTAGACAAAATCTAAACATTTACACCAAAGTCCTATTAAAAACACTATTTTTCATGATACCAGATTTTGTTCCAGTTCCAGTTCCAGTCTGTCTGCTTGCTGTACTCTGCCTCTTCTCCTCAAGTAACAGTCGGATATCTGCAGGCTTCTCAGAATGGGATTTACTACCAATACGGTTTTTTCACATTGCTTCCAGAGTCAGATCTCATTGAATTCCTAGAAAACAAGCAGATATTTGAGTACTTACAGGTTATGGTGGCCCAAACTACCCTACAGGACAATACTCTGGTACCTGATCAAACTATAATGAGCTCTATGGTAACCCTGCTGTTTGTCAAAGTAATTCTGAATATGAATAGCATTGTTTACTTCCAGTATTACACTTCCTAAGGGTGCATGAACACAGACATATGATTTTACCTAGGATCTTGCTGGCAGCAAGATCCAAGGTATAATCTTGTCAGTACACTGTATACATGTAATGTTTGTGCTAATCATTACAGGTGTACAGCACAAATTTACTACTGGTTGCTAGGATGCTGGTGACCCCTGCTGTCCTTGGTTGCTAGGATGCAGGCAGATCCTGCTGTGTAGGATCCTTGGGATGTTAGGAACATAAGCCGCCTTCCCTGCATGGTATTCAGGGCCAAAAGTGTACATTCACGATAAACCCTGTATGCATGTAAATGTTAGCACAAAAATCTAGAGCACTAAATATGGTCCATACGCAGGACTGTGAAGGCAGATCTTCCTATTTTTTGTTTTACGCAGCTAAGATTATTCTTCTTGGTTCATAATAAAGTCCCCTTACAATATCAGGGCAATTTTTGTCTCTTTTCTGGCCTACTATCACCATTTGTGCTGGTAACATTCATACATCATCCTGATCATTTGATTGGGTTATTCTGTTCTATTCTTGACAGAATATGGAATTGTGTTTTTCAAAAAGTCACTGTGAAAGTCCCAGTTATCTGCATGTGTAAAATACTGTATGCTTGTAAATGTTAGTAGAACCGGTCCATACACAGGACTGTGGAGGCAGATTTTCCTATTCTTTTGTTTTACAAAGCTGAGTGCAGTTTTAAAATTACAGGCCCATAGCACAACATACAGCTGTGTTCAGATATGGGGGAAAAAAAAGTAGACTTTAGAGATCTTGCACCCTCATACATAAATGCGTGCACAATTATTAGGCAAGTGAGTATTTTGATCAAATCATCATTTTATGCATGTTGTCCAACTCCAAGCTGTATGCTTAAATGCTTATTGGATTTAAGAATATCAGGTGATGTGTATTTGTGTATGATAATAATAATAATAATGGTGTGGCCTATGGAGATCAATACCCTATACCAAGGTGTGCATAATTATTAGGCAGCTTTTTTTGCTCAGGCAAATTGGGCCAAAAAAAAATTTAACTGACTGAAAAGTCAAAAATTGTAATCACAGTGATCACAGAACCAGCAAATGTTTTGTTGCAAATGGTCAACAGGATCCCAAGAAATGTGTTGATGAAAAATAAAACGCAAATAAACTGGCAAGGATTTGAGAAAATCAAACGTGCAGCTACCAGGAACCCATCATCCTCCAGTGCTGTCATATCCCAGAATTGCAACCTACCTGGAGTTCCCAGAAGTACAAGGTGTTCGGTGATCAGAGACATAGCCATGGTAAGGACGGCTTAAACCCCACCACCACTGAACAGGACACACAAGTTGAAATATCAAGACTGGGCCAAGAAATATCTAAAGACAATTTTTTCAATGGTTCTATGAACCAATGAGATGAGTGTGACTCTTGACGGACGGACCCATGCCTGGATCAGTAACAGGCACAGAGCTCAACTTTGACCCAGATGCCAGCAAGGTTGAGGTGGAGTACTGGTATGGGCTGGTATTATTAAAGATAAGCTAGTTGGATCTTTTCGGGTTAACGATGGACTCAAAATCCACTCCCAAACCTACTGCCAGTTTTTAGAAGACACTTTCTTCAAGCAGTGGTACAGGAAAAAGTCTATCTTTCAAGAAGACCATGATATTTATGAAGGACAATGCTCCATCACATGCATCGAAGTACTCCACTGTGTGGCTAGCCAGTAAAGGCCTTAAAAGTGAAGGAATAATGAGATGAATCAATTCCTCACCTGACCTAAACCCTATTGAGAACTTATGGGCCCTTCTTAAATGGGAGATTTATGGTGAAGGAAAACAGTACACCTCTCTGAAGAGTGCCTGAGAGGCTGTGGTTGCTGCTGCACAAAACGTTGATTGTCAACAGATCAAGAAACTGACAGACTCCATGAATGGAAGGCTTATGACTTATTGAAAAGAAAAGTGGCTATAATGGTAACTGATTTTTTTTTTTCTTTTGGTAATAACAGAAATGTTTATTTGTAAATTTTGAGTTATTATTCTCACTTTAACAGATGAAACACAAGTGAGAAGGGATTATTTTCATTTAGTTGCATAATAATTCTGCACACTAATAGTTGCCCAATAATTGTGCACACAGATATTCTCCTAAGAAAGCCAAAACCTCACTTTTACTTTCTTAAATATTCAGGTTTAAGGCTTATTAACATTTTGGATTGACAGGGCACTGCAGTTGCAACCAGTGAGCTACTAATGATGACCAGCATACAGTGAAGCAGTGTCAGAAAGTTTACACAATTTATCATACCAAAGTTATTATTATTATTATTATTATAATACAGTATTTATAAAGCGCCAATAGTTTGCTCAGCATTGTACATTACAAAGGGGGACAGAACATGGGACAGAACAACAACAATACAATGCAAAACATGGGGGGATCGAGGGGCCCTGCTCTTTCGAGCTTACAATCTAGGAGGGAGGGGATGGTGGCACAGGAGGAGATAGCTGTGGGGGATGGGGTGGTAGGAAGAGTGGAAGAGGTTGGCAAGTTAGCAGGGGGTGGGGTAGGCTTCCCTGAAGAGGTGGGTTTTCAGGGTGCACCTAAAGGAGAGGAGAGTAGGTGATAATCTGATGGGTTGGGGCAGGGAGTTCCAGAGGATGGGTGATACCCTGGAGAAGTCCTGGAGGCGGGCATGGGAGGAGGAGACCAGGGAACTAGAGAGAAGGAGGTCTTGTGAGGAGCGGAGTGTGCGTGCTGGGCGGTACTTGGATATTAGGTCAGTGATGTAGTTCAGGGCAGTATGGTGGACGGCTTTGTACGTCAGTGTTAGGATTTTAAATTTGCTCCGTTACCAATCGGAAGCCAGTGGAAAGATTGGCAGAGGGGGGTGGCGGAAATGGAGCGGTTGGAAAGGTGAATGAGTCTGGCAGCCGTATTCAGGATCGACTGAAGCGGGGATAGCCAGCGGTGAGGCTGGCCTGTAAGGAGGGAGTAAGTTCTCTGTATTTCCCTGCTCTCAGCTCACATGCAACCAAGAGCTATACAAGAAGTGAACTACCTGAATCATGTTCTGTGTAGATGCCATTCAAACTTCCATAGCAGGTTTAATTGGGATTGGGGACTATAAGAACTTCAAATTGCTAACTTTGTTTTATAGTAAGCAGTGTCTGTGGGAGGGACAGCTAAAACCTGCAGTGTTTGTCTCTCTACTTCATCTACAGCAGGCGAAAAGCGCTGCAGTATATTTTTTTATACTTCTTTAAAAAAACAAAAAAAAACCCACAAGCACCACAAATAAACAAACCTGCAATGGCTAATCTGACTGATTCCAGTGACTGGCTGTTGCTTAGTGAATATCCTTCCTTTGGGAACTGCTTAGAATAAATTCACAGAAAGTACATTCTGGAGCAGGATCACAACAGTGCACTGCAGTCTGGCTGCAGCTTGACTGTATCCAAGCTTTACATGGGGTTCTAAATGAGTTCTATTAGACTGCGCATTTTCTGAAAGCACATCAAAGATGCAGAATGCAGCAGGCGCTTTCTTAGAAAACTTTAAATACTGCCAAAACTAAGTCTGCATTCACACCTGAGTGTATTGTAGCTCAAAGCAAAATCCCATTCATTTCAATGGACTCTTGTCCACACTCAGAAGTGAACAAAGGTCATTGAAATGAATGGGATTTTGTTTGTTGAGTGTCTTCCAGCTACACAATTCTCAGGTAAGAATGAACCTAATTGGTCCAATTACCACATGTGTGATTCTAGCTCATCAGCAGCTTTACTTTGACATAGATAAGGTCACACAAGTTGCAGTTATACAGTGAAGGAAATAAGTATTTGATCTCCTGCTGATTTTGCATGTTTGCCCACTCACAAAGAAATGATCAGTCTAAAAATCAAATGGTAGGTGTATTGTAACACAGAGACAGAATAACAAAAAATTCAAAAGAAATGCATGTCTAACAAATGATGCATCGATTTGCATGTTCATGAGGGAAATAAGTATTTGATCCCCTTCACAAAACATGACTTAGTACTTGGTGGCAAAGGGATTTGCAATCACAGAGGTCAGACATTTCCTGTAGTTGGCCACCAGGTTTGCACACATCTCAGGAGGGATTTTGGCCCACTCCTCTTGGCAGATCCTCTCCAAGTCATTAAGGTTTGGTGGCTGACATTTGGCAACTTGAACTTTCAGCTCCCTCCACAGATTTTCAATCGGATTAAGGTCTGGAGACTGGCTAGGCTACTCCAGGACCTTAATGTGCTTCTTCTTGAGCCACTCCTTTGTTGCCCTGGCCGTGTGTTTTGGGTCATTGTCATGCTGGAACACCCATCCACGACCCATTTTCAATGCCCTGGCTGAGGGAAGAAGGTTCTCACCCAAGATTTGACGGTACATTGCCCCGTCCATTATCCCTTTGATGCGGTGCAGTTGTCCTGTCCCCTTAGCAGAAAAAGCAAAATATTTCCACCACCATGTTTGACAGTTGGGATGGTGTTCTTGGGGTCATAGGCAGCATTCCTCCTCCTCCAAACACGGCGAGTTGAGTTGATGCCAAAGAGATCCACTTTGGTCTCATCTGACCACAACACTTTCAACCAGTCCTGCTCTGCATCATTCAGATGTTAAGTGGCAAACTTCAGATGGGCCTGGACATGTGCTTTCTTGAGCAGAGGGACCTTGCAGGCACCGCAGGATTTCAATCCTTGTCGGTGTAATGTGTTACCAATTGTTTTCTTGGTCACTGTGGTCCCAGCTGCCTGGAGATCATTGACAAGATCCTCACGTGTAGTTCTGGGATGATTCCTCACTGTTCTCATGATCATTGACACTCC